GACAAAAGAACTGTATTCTTGCTATTTTAATAGTTTTGTTGGCATATAATTCGCATATTATACAATTTAACAATTCCATCACATCAAGATGTACACAATCATCACCCCAATCAATTCCAGAACATTTTCTTCTTTCCCGTGCTCCTTGCTAGCTCCCCATTTTCCCCTAGGCTGCCCTGCCATGACCCTGGGCAATTATTAATCCAGTTACTATCCTCTATAGATTTACCTATCCTGGATTTCATGTATAGAAAATAATACAAAACAGAAAAACAAACAAACAAAAACTCCAACAATAATGATGAAACAGAGGAAACCTTCTGTTGAAAAGCAGAAAATATTAAAAACTGAACCAACTTTAAAGGGAGATCAAATGACAAGACTTTACACTGTAAGTTAATTACAACCGCCACCTTCCACTTTACAACGCTGTCTGATGGCAAGGTTAGTCACATCCCTAGACCATGGGCAGAGGGAATTGACCTGAGGTGTAATCCATGGGGTGGGGATCCTGCGAATAGATTTTGGGCTCCCACTAGCATAAATCACCTTCTACAAACCAGGTGTTCACAATTTAAGCTCTGATATAGTCACCTCCTTTATATTTGGATTTTATTATTTACAATCCTTGGATCACATGAGCTGGTGTGGATTTAGCTGATTCCTGTATTCTTACTATTTTGTAACCTGTTATCTTTCATAATAATGACCCCTTCCCCAACCCCTCAGCCTCAACCCCATCATGAGTATTGTCTGAGTTGTGTGCCCATTGCAATGAATTCATGAACCCAGCAGAAAATTAAGAGGGTCAAGGGAGGGATAGGGGTCAAAATAGAAGAAGGGAGGGTGACGAGGTGTCTGGCCTCTGCTTTGTGACCACTGGCCCTTGTCTGATCTGGGGTTGAATTCATCTTCTTTGTATAGCCAGAGTGCAGCACTCCAGCCAGCTGGGAGCTTTCTGAGACATTTGGAAAAACTAAAGACACAAGATTGAGGCAGCAGAGACAGAAAGAGGTACTCAAGGAAGAGGCGTCCAGAGTTTCTCCACTTGTGGGGTTTATGGATAGGCCAAAGAAGAAAGTTCATAACATTTCAAACGCAGGAGCTATAATGGGGCACAACAACTTCAGGCTCCAGATGTTTTCAAACTATCAAACCATTCTCCCACATAAACGCATTCTGACCTAAGGGGCGATTCTTGTGGTTTGCAGCACGGAATCTCCTTTTCACTCAGCAGTTTGTGCCAAGTGCCTGGCAAATGCAGAGTCAAGGTTTAATCAAAGGCCTTTGCACCCAACTAACCCTCCTAGGGGCAACCAGGCAATGTTTCCCTACACCAGAGGAGGTCATCTGTGGCTTCCACACCATTTCCTCTAGAAGAGACCTTTGTCGGAATGATTCCAGGTTCATGGAAACATGAAGTCTCGTAAGAGAAAAATAGGGCGTGGGAAGTGAGACTTTTGATCGTTCTGATGGTTCTTGCCTGTAATGGCTGAGAGGAGCGTCTCACTCACTCAACCTCACCGCCATCAAGTCAATTCTGACTCACAGGGACTCTAGAATGGAGTCCAACTGCCCCATTGGGTTTCTGAGGCTGTCAATCTTCCCAAGAGCAGAATGCCTATCTTTCCCACCAGAGTGGCTGGTGAGTTAAAACTGCTGACTTTGTGGTTAGAATTCCAACATGTAATCCAATACCAAACCCCATGATGCCAACAGGGCTCCTTGAAAGGAATGCAAGGGATGTTACACTGATTACCGTGGGGAGAGGAGCTCCTTCCGGAGCACCTGGGGGCTAAAGCCAGGCTGGTCCAGCCAGAGGGCTAACAAAGCCTGGGCCTGCTGGATACGCACTGCCCGAGGTCTGTACCCATTAGCTTATTCATGGAATGAAGACTGTCTATATTTCATGTAATTTTCCTCCACTAAGATGACTTTAAGAGAAGCTGTGGTAATGTAGAAGATCAGCGGTTCAAAACCACCAGCTACTTGTTCAGGAGAAAGATGAGGCTTTCTATTCTTTATAGGAATAGAAATGCACAGTCTCAGAAACACACAGAGGCAGTTCTACCCCATCCCGTAGGGTTGCTGAGTTGAAATTGACTCGATGGCAATGAATTTATTGATTTATTGTGGTAAGATTACTTTAAGAAGCCCTGGTGAGTTAGGCTGTTAGGCTGCTAACAGCAAAGTTAGCAGTTTGAACCTACCAGTCACTACTTAAGAGGCAAGATGAGACCTTCTGATCCAGTAAAGATTTACAGCCTGTGAACAGTTATACTCTCTCTGTCTTGTGGGGTCACTGATTTTGGAATCAACTCAATGGCAGTGAGTGAGATGATTATTTTAAAACGCAATTGGGTTGGCCGTGTTTTAAGGTTTTTGTTCAATATCAGATCTCCAACATTTCCCAAGTAAGCCCTCAAAAATCTACCACAGATTATTGAGGTAAAAAGTACAAGAATTCCATTAATTCGGTTTTTTGTCAGTTTTTCAGTCAGCAGTCGAATAGCAGGCATACATTAGGCTTTAAATCAATAGCTGACATTGCTTTATTTAATAGATGAGCAAAATGAGAAGGTAATACCTCCTCACACACAGATGTACAGAAAATACATTAATTAAGTACCCCAAACTAACACACTGCTGTCAAGTCCATTGCGAGTCACAGGGCTTCAGAGACTAAATGGTTAAAGAGCAAAAGGAAGAGCCAACCTCTTTTCTCCCGTCGGTTTGAACAGTGTCCCTTGCAGTTAACAGCCCAATGCCTAATCCTCAGCGTCACCAGGGTCCCTTAAATAAAGTATTAAAAAAGTCATCGCCATCTAGTTAATTCCAAACCATAGCAACCCTATAAGGGCCGACTATAATTCCCCCTGTGGGTTTCCAAGGCTGCAAATGTTTATAGGAGCAGAAAGCCTCAGCTTTCTCCCTCAGAGGAGCTGATGGGTTCGAACAGCTGACTTTGCGATTAGCAGCCAGCAGCCCAACGGGCTGCCAGGGCTCCCTGATTAAAGTCCAAGCCCAGTACGTGTTGACTTGGGAGTAAATATCGTAGAGCTCAGACTTCACTCACTAACTAACCTCAATATCTGGTGGCCGCAGGTCTCCCGGCGACCCGCTTGATAAATCCATCTTTCCATTGAATCTGCCCTCGGCTTTCCATCCAACACCCAGAAACAGGTCCTCCCAACGCCCTCCTCCCACTTCCTGGCGGGGTTTCCTGGCCCGCAGCGCCGACCCTCCGTCCCTTCCGCCCTTAGCCCCGCCCCCACCAGCGGCCGGCCGTCACGTGACCGCGCGGCGCGCCCCGCCCCTCTGTCCCCCCGCTCACGTGACTGCGCCTGAGGCGAAAACGCCTGACTCCAACCTGGGCCTTCGCTGCACAGCCTCCTTTTCCGGCGGATTACCAGCCTCTCGCCCTCTCGCCTCCTGCGCGCCCCTCCACCCGTCCTGGCCGCCCCCCGGCGCCCTGACCGCCATGCGGCTGCGGCCTCTGGCCCCAGGTGGGCCCTGGCGGAGCACCGCCCGACGCTTACCTGTGTGCAGTGGCAGCAGCCCTGCGCTGCCGCTGCTGCTGCTGCTCCTCCTGGACTGCTGCCTGGGGGTCTCAGGGGTGGCGGCGGGCTCGCGGAGGCCCAACGTGGTGCTGCTGCTCACAGACGACCAGGACGAAGTGCTCGGCGGCATGGTAACTCCTCTCTCTATTTCTCCCGTGCCCTCCATCGTCAGGACTGGCCTGGGCGCTGTTCTCCGTCGCATTTCTTTCTCTGCCTGAACTGGCTACCCTGACTCGGGGGTGAATTTGGTTTTGGTTTTGCCATGCAAGACCCTTTACGCAGGCATGAGTGGGCCGCACGCTTTATTTCCACTTCATTCGTCTCCGTCGCTTCTGGATAATCATAATCGGTCAAACTATCAAAATAGCTCTCCTCTTTTCTCTCTCACACACACACACGGTTCATACTATCGGTCAAACTATCAAAATAGTTCTCCTCCTCCTCCTTCGTCTCCGTCGCTTCTGGATAATCATAATCGGTCAAACTATCAAAATAGCTCTCCTCTTTTCTCTCTCACACACACGGTTCATACTATCGGTCAAACTATCAAAATAGCTCTCCTCCTTCTCTCTCTCTCTCTCTCTCTCTCACACACACACACACACACACACACACACACACACACACACACACGGTTCAGACGCTCACCTCTCTCACGTGCGCACACATGCGCGGATTCCCTGCCCCGCCCCCCTTAGGGTTTCTAGTTTGAATCTGAACTTTACTGGGAATGTGCTGGCTAAGCCTTGATTGATTTTCTTTGGGATCAGACGACTAATGCAGCCACCATTTTTTTTGTTAAGAGAGGCTACTTCTGCATTTGTGGCTACAATATCACTCCGTGTTGTTTATCAAATAAGTTCTGAAATGAACTAATCTGGTACGTAGGCCGTCAGACTCCCTCAACAGAACCAAGAAAATTCAGTTAGCCTAGTTGAGCACCTGGCGATGATGCATTGGCCACAGTCAGTATTCCTTTTTGTATCAGATGAACGCTGCCCTGGGACTTCATTCTTTCCCCGAGTTAATTTTGTGTCTACTGTCTTAGAGGTCTGAAATTTATGACGCACAGAGGCCCAGAAAGTGGCTTGCCCAAGGTCACAGAAGTAGTTGGGACAGGATCTGGTCAAAACCGTGCTACTCCTGGTTCTGGCCAAGTGCTGTATTGCTTGCTTTGTTCGGTTCTCTTTTTGTTTTTAGCTGATTTCTGAGATATGAAAAGGCATCAGACAAGAGGTCCCCAACTTTTTTTCCATGTGATGCCCTAACTCAAGGTCTTTCAAAATGCTAGTTTCAGCCCATGAACGAATTTTAAGTTCAGTCTAGTAAGTTGCAGCATTTTTACTTTCCCCTGGAATAGAATAGGATAGGAAATACAGTCAAGGGAATCCGACCCATATGTATATCTGCCTGCATTGTGAAGTGGATTGTTTGTGGTCTAGTCTTTGTTAGCGTTTTGTTTATGTCTAGGCTAGTGTTCTTATCTTTATCTTTTTTTTAGTTAATCATTTTACTGGGGCTCTTACATATATTGTAACAAGCCATACATCTATTCTATTAAGCGGATATGTACAAATATTGCCATCAGCACTTTCAATACGTTGTCTTCTTTTTTTAAAATTATTTTATTGGAGGGGAGCTCTCTTACAAATCTAACAGTATTCAGTACTGTTAAGCACACTTATACATATGTTGCCATCAACATTTCCAAAACAGTTTCATTCTACTTGAGCCCTTGGTATCAGCTCCTCTTTTTCAGTCTTTCCTTTTGAGTCCCTTGATAGCAGTTCCTCTCTTTTCCCTCCCTCCGCCATCCTCGCAAACCCTTAATGTATTATGTATTGTTATTTATGCATGTCTTACACCGCCCACTTGATCGCCTCACCGACAATCCTGATACTAGTTCCGCTCCGGGGGGTTATTTCACCATCATTGCTATGAGTTCCTCCTTCCCCCCTTCCTCCCCTTCCCCTACTTCATGATTTTATTTACGCATATGGCATGATGGACAACCCTGTTCTTCACAGAAACATAGATTGTTCTCTTTAAAATAATTCACTCTAGAAAAATTGGGTCAAACCATCAAGAAAATGAGAGAAGGAGCCATTAAGAAATGTAGGGGAAGAAAAAGTGCTTCGTGCCTGTGCTTCAAGCAGAGAAAGCTACAGAATTATCCAAATTGTCAAAATGTAGAGTAGTTATACCTGAGAGCCAGGGAAGTAAATGACACCATGGGTTCTTTTAATGGAAGAAAGTGTAGTATCTACCATTGCCTAGGCCAATGCCCAGCATTTGGAAAACACTTAATAAATGCATTATAACCACAGCGTGTAGCCAGATGTTCTTCAGTAGCTTTGCATATTACCAGACAGTTGGTTCATGAACTTACATCAACTTCCATTTCCTTTTTCTCTATTTAGACTTCCCATCCTCGTTTTCCTGTCTCAGGGTGGTGCAAATGGTTAACACATTGACTGGCGTAACTGAGAGGTTGCATGTTTGAGTATAGCCTGAGACACCTCAGAAGAAAGTCCTGCCAACCAATTTTCCAAAAAATCAGCCGTTGAAAAATACAGGGAGCACAATTCTGCTCCACATACAGTAGGGTCGCCATGACTGGGAATCAGCTCAACAGCAACATGTTATTTTTAAACTCAAGTTCCTCATCAGACTAGTGTCTCATGAAGCCCAGTGCCCTTTTCTGGCGGGGTACTGTTGTTGGTAGTTAACCATCTGCTTGATTTAATCTCATGGCAACCCCATGTGGCAGAGTAGAACTGCTCCAGAGAGTTTTCAGGGCTTGGCCCCTGCAGAAGCAGGCCATTGCCTGGCCTGCTTCTAAGGATTCAAACGTGTTTCCCACGTTTCTCCCCCCCCCACCCCCAAAACCCACTGCCATTGAGTCAATTCCAACCCCCAGGGATCCCATAGAAGGTTTCTGAGACTGTCTTACAGGAACGGGCATTGCATCTTTCTCCAAGGAGCAGGTATTTGACCCACTGACCTTGTGGTAGGCAGTTCAGTGCTTAACCTTTAGTGTCATGAGGGCTACATTTCCTGTGGTCCAATCTGACTCATAGTAACGCTTTAGGGGAGAGTCAAACTGCCCCTACCGAGTTCTGAGGCTGTAAGTCTTTACAGTGTTGACAGCTGCCTCTTTCTCGGGTTCCCTATGGCTAGCACCCAGGAATTTTTTTGTAGTCTCCCTTCTGACAGTTAGCACAGGCACATCTCTCCTGAGATTTATAATAGGGATTCTCCGTGACATTGTCAAAACTCCTCTGGAGAGTTAGAAGTCTCTTCCATATAAGTACTTGCATAAGTAGACGTCTCTTTTCTTCATCTAAAACCCTGGAAAAGGAATTTTTGCATAGAGCGTTGAAAATGAAGTTCTTAACTAAGTTATGTATCTGAGTGATCAATCTTTAAGGCATCACTGTGCAACATAAGAGACCTCATGGGGTCTCGGGATGGAAGGTGCTTCAGCAGCATCGTGAATCGCCTCATCGAGTACAAACGTGAGCCTCTTCAGTGGTGCTTTCTGGCTGTATGTAATCTGAATAAAGTTTATTAGGGTTCCTTTTACGTGTATCTCAATGGCCATCGTCAAATTTTTGCCTTCAATCTAGGCTCTGAGGTCCTTGCTCTCTGTCCTTGTCAGGATCTGAGATTTTGAATGAAGGATGGAAATGAAGGATATCCTGCCCAGTCTTTTGCTCAGCCGGCCTCTGCATGCACCTGTTTTCCACCTGGCCCAAGCCTCCATCCGAGGTGGAAGGCAGTGTACTCAGAGCGTGGCCACCACGTTGGGTCTGAGTTTTGAGTCAGGCTCCCAGTCTTGGAGCCTTGCCTGGCTCTCAGAGTCCAGCTGCTGTTTTATTTCTTTTTGAAAGGATGGAAGGCCCCTTGCATGTTGTTTCCATATATTCTGAAAGGAATCGCTGGAGACAGCCCTACCCTAACTACCACAGAAGAGGCATATGACCAATGAGAAAGGGCACTAGAATTCTGCTACAGGGGTTGCCGGGATCATGCCCTCCAGTGTGGGCTCTCCTCCCTGCCAGCATTCTGTGCCCTGGAGCTTTATCACGAGAGCCAACAAACCTGTTGGGGGCCTCTCCAGGATCCCACAGGACTCCCCTGGCCTCTGCTTAGTGTCAGGAAGAGTCAACCGCGTGGAAATCACATTGAGAGGACATTGCACGAGAGCACACGTTCTGGTCTGTCTGTCTTCATTTACTGGAAGAAATTGTCTAACCGGCTGCTGCTTACTTTACAGACCCCCCTAAAGAAAACCAAGGCCCTCATCGGAGACATGGGGATGACCTTCTCCAGTAGTGTAAGTGCCGTCGCCAAGTTCACCTTTCTAGACTTGTTTGTGTTATGTCCTCACCGTATTGAGGCTCTGTCCTGAGAAGGAGCACCAGATTCCGGGCAGTTGCTTTGGATATTTAATAGTTCTTCTTACCAGTGGAAGATTTATTGTAGCTATTTGCGCAGCCAATCTGCTCTGCGACCTAGAACTACAAAAAATGATTTCAAAGCCTCAAGGTTGAAGGGTTGAAAGTGGACGTAAGAATTAAGTAACATTAAAAAATAATAATAATTTATAAATTATCAAGGGTTCCTGGGGGAAGGAGGGGAAAATGAGCTTATCTCAAGGGCTCAAGTAGAAAGAAAATGTTTTGAGAATGATGAGGGCAACAAATGTACAAATGTGCTTGATACAATGGATGTATGTATGGATTGTGATAAGAGCTGTACGAGCCCCCAATAAAATGATTAAAAAGAGAAGTAGCATTTGTGCTTAGTAAGGCATTCCATGGCGAAGTCGTGCAAGCCACTTTGTGAAGCCTTTTTGACTCTGCAAGCACAGCCTGACAGTACCACCAGGGGGGAAGTGCACACATATGTAAACACACTTGTCTCATGTGTGAACATGGGTGCAAAAATCCCAAACAGAACACTAACATCAAATTATGAGACTTTGCACCATGATCATATAGTCCAGTCCATAGGTGCCCAAACTTACTTAGCCTGCTGCCCCTTTCCAGAAAAAATATTACTCGGCATTCCCCCCCACCCCCCCACCCCCGGCAATCACAAGCACAAGTCAGGATAAAGTGTAGGTATCTGCTTCTCCGGTGCGGGGAGGGGGGGGGGGGAGGCCGGCATGGCCCTCTTTGGAAACACTGAAGTAGACAATAGTAGTCTGGGAACAAAGAAGGGTAGCCTGAACAAAGAACAGCACCTGTGCTTAAGAAAACAGACTCCAGAGCCGGACTGCCTGGCCTCAAATACTTTCAAATACTTTTCTTACCCTCTGGTTTAGCTTGAGCCCTGGGGCAGATGATGTAACCAATGATGTAACCGTTTGGGGTTTGGTGAGATTAAGTGGGCTGAGAAGCGTGAAAAAGCAAACTTGCTGTCATGGAGTTGTTCCAACTCCGAGTGACCCCAGGGGCTAGCGTAGGCCCGACCCGCCCCATTTACAATTTGACGTTTTGATTGGCGTATTAAATAAAAGCACTGGGTTACTTAGTTCTAATGTATAGAACTAGAAAGCTTCATCTTTCTCTCGGGGAGCAGTTGATGGATTCTAACTGCAGACTGCAGTTAGCAGCCCAACACGTAACCCACTAAGTCCCCAGGACTCCTGATACACGTTTATCACACCTGTACTGTTGTTCACACCTACACATCTGAACTCATTCGCTGGAAGAAGAGAACACCCTTAGTTGGTCATCTGACTCGATGGCCTGAAGGTGGAATTGAGCTGGTAGAAGGGTATGCCCTCACTACAGAGAACATTTCAAACAAATAATGCCCCTTAGGCTGAGAGACAAACACTAGGGCATTGCTGTTAGGACAGAGACGGGGCCTCTTGTTAATGCTGTCCTGGACAGTATCGATGCTGCCTTGAGGTGCACTGAAGTAAGAGTCAAGTTATTGTAAAAAAGCCAGAATTTTTTTATTGCTACTTATTTGGATTTCCTATTTTCCGTTTGGATTCCTAGAATGCATAGGGAAATTGTTGGAAAACTTTTAAAACTATTAATGAATTCAGACAAAAGTGAAAAAATTAAAATGACGAGCTTTCTTCCACATAGTCAGTTAGAGAAAGAAGTAGGGGAGTCAGCTGGATGCCCCCATTCGTACTAGTAGCAGAGCTTCAGCTCTCGGAATAGCTGACGGTGACAAGAAATGGTTAGAGGGGATGTAAGTGACGTCACAGCAGTTTCCTGAGTGACCTACTGAAAGCACTTTGTTGCATAGAGATGCATATATCATGTTCTGTGGGAAGACACAGCATTTTTAAAAAGGCATATTTTAGTCAAAATCCCAACAAGATTTTTCTAGATACAATTAAGCAATACGGAAAGCTACTTGGAACAAGAAGCAGGTAAGAACACTCATAGTAAGTTTTTCAAAGTAGGAAATTGCCCTATGAAACACTAAGAAAGTAATAGGAAAACACAGAAACGAATGTGCCGTAAAATAGACCGGCAAACAATGGGAAAGAATTAAGAACATTGCCAGTGTACAAATTACACAAGTGAAATTAAAATTAAGAGGTAAAAGTAAAAATGGGAAGTATTGATGACATGACTAAAACCTTCCTTAACTCAAATCTTCTGTAACCAGAAACCAACGTTCCAGAAGGAGAAATGGAGAAAACCTAGAGACAGACAGTCCCCATAAGCAGAGTCAGTCAGCATATCGAGGGCACACTGAGATCGCTCGTTCTCAGCAGTGGAGTTTAAAATACACAATCCCACGGGAAAGCGGCCTGGGTGGGGACAACATCTAGGTGCACGAGAGTGTCTGAAGGAGCTTTCTTCATTTCCTGCCGGTGAGAGTATAAGCTAGGGTGCACTTTCTCTGAAGGGGCCTGGCACCGTGCAAATATTGGGTAGAACGGGTAGAGTCATTAATCACCATAGGTAATACTGTGATCCACATTGTATGAAAGTTATCTTTACCCCACTCTGCTTTTACCTCACACCTATGTCAGTACCTGCTTTCAATAACCATAAGAAACCCAAAGGGAATTTTCGCTGTTACTTTCAAAGAGGCAAGAAGCAAAGCTCATGTTCAGCATGTGTTTTGCAGCGAACCATTAAAAAGTCAGCATGTGAACCGTGTCTGGGAACATTAAACATGAGGTTATTTTAGGGTTTATGTGCTACGTTATTTGATTTAGTAGGCTATTTTGGGGGCCTAGGAATAAAGATTTTTTCCCATAGGAATTGCTGGTACAATTGGCCCTCAGTTTCTTCAAGTTTCGCGTGCAGGGATTTAACCAACTGAATGAAAACACTAGGTGGGGCTTGGGGGGAACGGACAGGGGCCAACTAAAGGGTCAAGGCTGAGAGGGAGCTGTCAGGTGTTTTCCATGGCATTTACATTGTACTAGTTAGTGTGGGTAACTAATCTGGAGACAGTGGGAAGTATATGGGTGGATGTACATCGGTTATATGCAAATCCTATGCTGGATTTGAACAGCCTCAGAATTTGGTATGTGTAAGAGTTGGATTGTGGAACAAATTCCCCTTCCTCCTCTCCCCTCCCCACCCCACTTAACCTCCATCCCCACCCCTACCTCCACCCCTGGTGGATACTGAGGGAAGGGGAAAAAATCTCCAGTACATCAAATAATACAAAGAATGTATAAAACTAGGTGTCAGCTTGAAAATGAACCGTTGCTTCTCAGTTACATCAAATACAAGTTGTTTTCTTCAACATTGATTAAAAACCCAGCTGCCACTGTGCTGTGCTGCTTACTATAAATATTACATATTATTTCTTCAGGGGGATAGGATTAGAATGACTGTTAGGTTTTCCTGCAGAAATAAACTAGCTGAGAAAGAAAGTTACCCTTGGCACTTGTTTTGTCTGCTTAGTTGTCTCCCTTACAGGACATAAAGCAACTCACTCTGAAAGTGCATGTCATGGAAAGAAAATCTATTCTGGGGAAAAATTAAAATTCCATGTTATAGTATCAGACCGCTTTCTTGGTTCTCTTTAGAAATTGATCTTCCTTGTGTGATTGCCTTTTTTCTTGTGTTCCCTTTGTAGTATGTGCCAACTGCACTTTGCTGCCCCAGCCGAGCCAGCATCCTGACGGGGAAGTACCCTCACAATCATCACGTTGTGAACAACACCTTAGAGGGAAACTGCAGCAGTAGCTCTTGGCAGAAGATCCAAGAGCCCAATACTTTCCCAGCAATCCTCAGATCAATGTGTGGTTATCAAACCTTCTTTGCAGGGAAATACCTGAATGAGGTATGCTAAATGGAGTGATAGTCTCTCTTTTTTCCCCAGTAGCTTTTACAAGGCAAGTTAATAAAATTCACTTTCGTCTTTATTGGTAACTCAGGTTATGTTGAAAGGGTATGTGCTATTTTTTCCTCATCTGACAATTAAGTGAAAATGTGTGGTATATGATTTGGGTAGAATAGTTATTCTTCCTTGATAGCATTCCAGGAGCACGGGTTTAAGTTGTCCTAAAGCCGCTGCTGTCTGAAATCCTCATTCCTCAGGGATTGTGCTTGTCATGTGGCTTTCTGTCAGCATTGTTTCCAGTTCCCCTTTACCAGAAGGATTTCTTTTTTTTAACTCTTAGAATCTTTCCTCATTTCTGGAACCTTTTCTGAATTACCGTATATACACCAAATTTTTTCAGCACATTTTATGCCGTTTTGTGGTAAAATTAGGTGCCTCAGCTGATATTCCAGTCGGCTTATACTCAAGTATATACGGTACATCCACTTCGTGCTGTACAGTACTTGTTTCCTGCTTGCCAATGGGAGTCTAATGTGGAAAGACCAGGGATAGAGGACAACCCCTGAGCATGGAGTGCGCAGGCCATTATGCAAATGGTTTGAGGGTCTGCATGGAGGGGTACCCATTGTGACCTCTCAGGTAAAGGAAGTACAGTCTCAGATTTCATGGCCCTGAGTTACCACATAGGCCTTAGTTTTGAGTCTTAAGTCCAAGTTAAAAGAAATAGCGCATATGATAGTGTTGGGTGTTATCATTTACAGTGAAACTGGGGATGCAGGGCAAAGAGAAGATGAATGCTTTCTAATCCTGTTTGTGATTGCCAGACATTTCATCTGATTACTGACCTGCTGGGTCAGCAGTTTGAAACCACTCGCTATACAGCTGAACAAAGAGATAAAAGAGTTCCAGTCTGGGGAGTCTCGATGGAGGAGTATGTGCGAGACCCTTGCCCTGGCGCATTGCGGGTGACTGCAGCAGAGCCTTCACAACGGGCACCATAGGTGGTGGTCTCTTCCAAGGAGTCAACCATAGGCGAAGAGGGAGTTGGACAGGGATTTAAAGCAGGGCGCCACCATGGGAGGCAGCTTTGGGGACTGTTTGGAAGGTCTGTTTTCCATGATTGTCTGCAGTGTGGTTCAAGTCAGGCAAAGAAGACCCCCGGGATTCCATCTCAAGCGGAGAAATGGACCGGTGGCCTTTGTTGGGTTAGCCCCAATGGGTAGCATTCTCCTAGCTTTAATTGAAGGAGCTGGTAGCTTGTTGACAAGATTTGCCTCTGTGCAGTTTCCCAGTGGTCCTGAGTTTGCTGAAATTCCCTGTCAGTTGTCTTCAACCCAGTTACAGCCTCACCTTCTGGAGACTACGGATAATCCCAGTAAGGACGGCTGCACACTGAGCTATGGTTCAAGAAGGCCAAGTTACAGTCTACTTTTAAAACAATATGTGGAACAACTATGTCCAAATGGGCTCTGAGAAGACATTGAGCAACCCCACCCCCATTTAAAGGAACATGAGGGGAGTATTAAAAGATAAAAAACACTATTTATTCACACTTGGATTGCATTTGTGATCAAAATAGATACCTAGTAGCACAAACAGAAAAATGTCTAAGTGCTCAGAAGAAGAAGGACCAGAGGACAGACCCCATGAAACATGACCATCAGTTCCTTGGGGACTTCTCTGCCTGGTTTTGTGTGCTGTCAATTCAAAGAATTAAAAACCCCTGGAACTGGGGGTGGGGTGGGGGGGAGTTGCAGTCTCGGAAACCCATGGGTCGCTGAGAGTTGAAAACTCACTCCATAGTAGTGAAATCGATTTGTTTGTTTTGATTACTTCCTGTCTAGTTATACTGCCTGAGAAAATTCCTGTGTTACAAGCACTGATCAGAAAATATGCTAAAAAGTTCTTGTTTCTTATTCATTGTTATGATTCTCCCCTTCCCTGTCCCTGGTCTGGTTATGTTTAGGGACTTCTAATGCCCTTCATATCTTGCTTTTCAGTACGGAGCCCCTGGTGCGGGAGGACTGGAGCACGTGCCGCTGGGCTGGAGTTACTGGTATGCCTTGGTGAGTGGTGACTGTCGTCAGTAACGAGTGTGCACAGCCCTCCAGGTGAGCGTGTGCTCACCGGCCGGGAGTGCCTCCTTTCTGAGATGTGGCATGTGTGCTGCTCTGCCTGATCCTCTCTGGCATTGCAATTCGGTCGTTCCCGGTTAATGGAACACTGGTTGCGAGCTCGAGTGCAGTATTGACTTGGGTCATTCTCTTGTGTTCATATTTTACCACGGTTCCAACAGTGGATGGCTGAGCTAAGGCCAGCCTGGATCCAGACTTCCATTTTGTATGCTGCCCTCTTAATAAATCTTACAGGGTTTATTTGTTTTTTTTTTTAACTAGGAAAAGAATTCTAAATACTACAATTACACTCTCTCCATCAACGGGAAGGCGCGGAAGCATGGTGAAAACTACAGTGTCGACTACCTGACAGATGTCTTGGTGAGTTCCTGAAACACTCGTCCCACGTTTGACTACAGACTGCCTAAAAAACCTATGGTCTGACTTGTCCCTGTCGGGGAACGTACACACAGTAGCTTGGTCTAATAGCCATCAAATATTTCCCACTGATTAAAATTGCACAAGGGTGTTTTTCTTTGTATGTAAGCCAGGCTCGGCTCAAACGTGCATGAGATCCCAGCAACAAATCCTTTTACCAAGGTGAATAAGTAGCTAGAGCTATTACTTTGTAGAAACTCCTACTCCTTGACCCCAGCACTACTCACAAGCTGCAGAAGGGGTTTTGTTAGGAATACCTGAGTTCCCCAGGGTGTGTGTGTGTGTGTGTGTAACAAAGTACTGAAATTGTGTGAGTGTAATACAGGTTAATTTGCAGTAATGTAAGTTCATACTAAAATCATTACCATTTGTTTTCTTATGGGGAAAGCATAACAATTTCTAGATCATGTAACATCATTAAGGTTTTCTTAACTTACTGGTCACACATTGGTCTGTCAACTGTCAGCAGTTGGAAAAGACAAGGCTCTCGACTCCCACAAAGCATTGCAGTCTTGGAAACCCATGGGCAGTTCTTTCATGTCCTATAGGGTCACTATGAGTTGGAAAGAACTTGACAGCCGTGAGTTTCATGTTTTTCAAAATGTATTTGTTCTAACAGCACATTTGTAAATAATCGTGATTCAAGATTGTGTGTAAGATTAGTTAAAAGGCTAATATGACCCCATACCTACTGTTTACCAGAGAGCATTGATTTCAGTACTTAACCACTTGGGGAGGACAGGGGATGACAAACCTTTGTGTGTGTCAGGCTAACGTCTCCTTGGACTTCCTGGACTACAAGTCGAACTTTGAGCCATTCTTCATGATGATCTCCACTCCAGCACCTCACTCGCCATGGACAGCGGCACCCCAGTACCAAAAGAGCTTCCAGAACGTCTTTGCACCAAGAGACAAAAACTTCAACATCCATGGAATGGTAGCGTCCTCTACTTCTTGGATCCAGCCATATTGATCTTCCGAATTGTGCAATATGCTTGCCAGGAAGCCTTTAAGCCATGTAGTTGGTCTTCCTTCAAGACCTTTTAGAGCTAATTGCCTCCATCTGTCCTAGATGTCTAAAGTTGCTTCTGAGTTCGCAGTCCTGCCACACATGTGGTGAGCAGCTGGAAAATGCACAGGAAATGTTAAGGAAGTGCCATCTTCCCTGATTCCAGGGGTATCACTCAGGTTCCCTAGTTCAGCTCCCGTCCCATCTGGCAGTGCCTGATGCACGTCCCTTGGGGCTGGACTGGCCTGCTGCGGTCCCTGGAGGGCTCTTGCCAAGGCTGAAGCATAGGAAGGAGAAAGGTGACAGTGCGGTATGGCCGGGAAGGGAGGCAATGGGAGAAATAAGCCAGAACAACCGAAGTATCTGCCTCCTGTGCCAGTTACTCCCTTTCCCTTGGCACGGGCGAACGGGCTCTCCAGGGCTTTAGCGGTAGACCGCCTGCACTGCCTTGCTTCCTGCCTTTTACGTGAGTGTCTGTCATTGCTCGTGAGGTTGTAGGCAGGATGCGCCTTGGAGTCAGAATTGGTGTTACCACATGCATTTGAGACTGAACAAAATGCTTGACTTCCATTGTTCCATCAAAGGTGAGAGATCTGGATCCCTTGGGAGACCATTCTCTGGGTTTAAGTATGTGGACACATCCAATGTGCTACCTGGCACGTCGTGAGGAAGCATTTGTTAGTGCGATTCCAGAGATGAGTGGTTGGGTTTTATTAACTAGACGACTATTCTCAAAAGAAGTTAATAGATGGCCAAATAAGCTGGTAAACTGTGCGACATTGGTAGTGTGGTCGTGTGAATTTCTATCAGGGATAGGCTTTGTAACACTTCCCTCACTGACAGCGATCTAGAGTACTGTGAGGAACACAGGTTCGGAAATGCTGCCTGGTGCTCTTGCCAGTAGGAGAGCATTAGTGGCATGTGGCATTACTTGATTTAGAAATTTTTGCTCTAGACTTTAGACTCTATTTGATCAGCCCAATGGCAGGGACTTGAAATGTTTGGACAGTCTTAGGATGGAATGCCTCTCAGGGCTCTAGCATAACTGATATCTTGGGTAGGAAAATAGAGGGCAGATGGCATCAGGACTTAGCTGGGCATCACTCAGAGAAAGAGAAGGTGAATCTGTACCCGTTTGAAACCGTAGTAGCCCCAAAGCCCAGGGTTAGAGCGGTCAAATCTCCTTTTAGCCAGTAGTTGCCCAGTTTCATTCATTAAATCGCCTACCAATGGTGCTAACCAAGGAGGCAGGACCTGTAATGGGTTGGGGAGTGGCAGGGTAAAGCTGGGAAATGAGGGATACCTTAGAGTTAACTTGCAGGAAAACCCTCAGGAACACCAGGGAGGGAAGGGAGTTGTTCCAAACAAGTTGCAGTTCGTATTCCTTTTTGGCTGAAGTTTAAAACGATCGTTTGCATGATCTACTCTGGTAGTTTGCTGGTGATTTGGTGTGGTGATTTGATACTAATTAAATTTTCCCCTTCTAAATTTTAGAACAAGCACTGGCTAATTAGGCAAGCCAAGACCCCAATGAGTAATTCTTCAATACAGTTTCTAGATAATGCGTTCAGGAGAAGGTAAGAGCCATTACTTTCTCGATCTGTGTGGTCTGTGAGGACCCTCCAAGTCAGGTCATGATCAGGGTTATCTTGGAGATCAGAGGAAGCAAGTGGGTGGGAGGGACACTGATTAGACTCTGCTTGGTCACGAGGCAGGTGCCGCTCCTTTGCATTCATGAGGTGGCCTTTGGAACTAGTAAAGTAATCCATTCTTAAGGCTTGCTGAAGAACTGCAAACTTTTTTTCCCCTGTGCCTTAAAAAAAGGTCATTTGGTGAGGGATCAGCCCAAATATCTAATAAAAGACCCAAAGGCTTAGACTCTGGTGTAGCACAGATACACCAGTCTGAATGAATCGAGGAATTAGCACTGAGCTAATCACTTTTCTGCCCGTGATGACTGTTCTTGTCACAGTGATAATAAATAAAGTCAGCTGCCTGTTATAAAAAGGGGCTCATTTATTCATTGAAATACAGTTTTTTAAATTTGAAGAGAAACAACTATGTTCTGTAGTTTTCAGCTTTTTTTGCAATGAAGGATAAAGAGGGAGGGCTTTTGAGATTTGCGCTCTGGGGGAAGGGATTGAATTTTGGTTCTTTTTGAACTTGGCAATGTATGTGGGTGGATAGTGTCTTTTGTTTCTTTGAGGGGGGGGGGGTGTAGATAGTGATACCCATCCACTGCCTCTGAACTCACCGTTGCCCCTCACTGTCCCATCCAGGTGGCAAACGCTCCTCTCCGTTGATGACCTTGTGGAGAAACTGATAAAGAGATTGGAGTACAATGGGGAGCTCAACAACACGTACATCTTCTATACGTCAGACAACGGCTATCACACAGGTAAGAGGCAGGGATGGGGGTTCTCTGAAGCGTGTGTTTCCCCTCTTTCACCCAGCCAGTAGCACTGGCGATGTGTTTGAGTTTGAGTTCTTTGATAGCAGGGGACACGCCAGAGGTCAGCAGACTTGACATCAGCCCTCTCATGAGGGCCGAGGAAGCCTTGTGGAGAGTCCATTCCTTGTTACTGGCTGTTTCTGGGGCTGAAGTCTAAGGGGTGCTAGGAATGAGGGGTGTTCTCTTTATGGGACGGAGTCAGGCAAGCTGCGTGGAACTGATTTCAGGGCTAGAATCGAGAGAGTAGAGAGGACACTGCCTACGAAGAACAGGAGAAGGCTGTCTGGGGGGAAGCTCAACGTGAAACTAGATTTACTGGATGAATTTTCCTCACTCCAAAAGTGCAGTATGAGGCAGTGAGTCAGACCCTTATCCTTGCTTTCCTAGTGGGACCTTCTGTGCTTAAGGTGTTTCTTGTTCCCCAACTGTAAATTGGATGTGATTCGCGTGGCCCGCCCTGTCAGGTAAGCATTGGACTGCTGACTGCCACGGCGGTTAGATGAGAAGGATGAGGCCATCAGTCCCCGTAAAGACTCACAGCCTCGGAGACCCCATAGCAGGTCGCTGGAGTCTGAACCCACGTAGTGGCAGTGGGTTGGGTTTTCGGTTTGTCTGCATGTGAGCAGATTGACTGGGCATTTATGGTATATAAATAAGGTATATATTTTGTTAGAGTCAGGACTAATAAGATAATCGCTTTTATCTCCTTTAAGTTTTCCCCTACATGTGGCCAGTTTTGGGAATTCTTTCTACCTCTCCCCAGCTTTCTTTTTTTGCTAGAAACTTTTGAAGCAAACCCCAGGCATTATGTGCTTCCACATGCCAACATTTGCGTGTACATCTGGTTGACAAGGGTCACTCTTACTTTCTCCTACCGGATCCACCTTAGGAAAATTCATACTCGTTAAGTGTTATCATCTAATGCCCAGAATATATTCAGGTGTACTTGAATTTTTTTTTCTTCTAGTAATTTATTTGTCTTAGGAAACAGACAAGATGCACACATTCCTTACATGTATATGTGTAGGCACATTGCCGTCTCTCTCGTCTTTCACGTTGCCACAGATTTACTGGAAACAGTGAGTCCTCTATGCGTTAGCTCACCTTACATCCTGAACTTGGCTGTGTAGTCTCAGTGTGCTGGTCTGTGCTCACCTTGTTTTCTTGCGATTGGCAGATCTGGAAACTTGATAGAAATGTGTCATTTCAGGCTAGAAGGCTTCACAGGTGCTGCTGCTGCCCACTTTGTACTGCATCACATCATTGGGCTTTGGTACCCGGTTGCCTTTCATACAGGGATGCTACACCCTAGTGGCATAGTGGATTACATGATGCGTTGCTGATGGCAAGGTCAGCAGTGTGAACCCACTAGCTGCCCTGTGGGAGGAAGACGAGGCCCTCTGATCCCATGAAGATAGACGGAAATCTTGGAAACCCAAAGGGCCAGTTCTACTCTGTCGTGTAGGGTTGAAATGAGTCACAGTCGACTCTATGGCAGTGGGTTTTAGAGTGTTGACTGGTGGCTCAGTTGGTACCAGTCTGTGCCCTTCTTGTGAACCTTTCTATAGTTAATCTTCCTTTGGTGAATGTTGCCTAAATCCACGGTTCCTGGAGAAGCTGCAAAGTGCTGACTGCCATTCTGTCCTTCCCTTTGCATTTGCTAGCTGGCTCAGAGAGTAACTCTCATCCACTGTTTGGTTAGTTTGAACTGCAGCTGATTCAGGAAAGACCGTTTGACTTCCATTTGTTAATCAGTGTTTAGAGGAGCCTCACTCACTTGTGTTCCAGGTGGAGTGCCATGGTAAAAGGAGGGCTGTAAGTCTGTATATTCCAGCATGTTCCGGCCATGTTCTAGGGAAGTGCTTCTAGGCATTTATCTAAAGAGGAATGCGGGCAAACGTAAGCTTGCTCTCAAAACAGTGTGGTTAGTAAAATGAAGCTGTGTGAGCACAATGTGGTCAGTCCTTCTACCCTCCCTGCAGCTTGACCGTGTTTGCTCTGCTTACAGGACAGTTTTCTTTGCCGATAGACAAGCGACAGCTGTATGAGTTTGACATCAAAGTTCCACTCTTGGTCCGAGGTCCTGGGATCAAACCAAATCAGACAAGCAAGGTACGTGCCGACAAGATGGTAGAGTTGTCGCCTCCCCAGAAAATGAGGGGATTCATTCTGAGCAGAAGCTGGTTGCGTTTCTCCTTCTGTGAGGGTGAGGACCTTGTAAGTGTAATGATCAGTCCATGTCTCAAAGTCCATGCTCCCCCAGCCCCCGGTAACGCCTTTCCTCCCCTTTCATCCCCGTCACGCCAGTGTGAATAGCTCTTGTTTATCTTTTGAGACTAGGTCTTTACTTAATTAAGAACAGGGACTTGGCAAGCAGGTTGTACATCAAAATTGCCCTCTGAAATTTTGGAAAAGGAAAATGGTACATGCTGGGGTAACATCTGGAGGGTTTTGACTTGCTCCCTTGGTCTGGAATAGGGAACCGGTACCGGTCCTTTATTTATTTATTTTTAACATTTAGAGATGTTTCTAAGATGTAGCCTGGTTTGGGGTGGACTTGACTGTGTCGACGAACCCCCGAGGATCTCATGAAGATGCAGGGGTGACGAGCGCTATTCGTCTGACCTTTTGTTAGTTGCCAGAGGAAGGAAGAGGCCATCGGTCAGTGTGCTTGAGTCCCCTGTTGGGGCTATCGTGTCAGTACTAGAAAATGCGTCTTCCTCCCTAAGGCTCCTCTGCTGTCCTGCTGGTCGGTGCTAGAGTCTCACAGGAGCACATTCCGGTGGTGTCAGTGTTTGTCTACACTGGGTCCTAGCACTGAGGCCCCTGGCTCCTAACCACGGGCCCCTCATCTCTGTCCTATCAGATGCAGCAGCTTCCGGCTGAGCTCTGGGACACGGAAAAGCACGTACATACGTGATGCCAAAACTGCAAAGTGGGTTTCAAAATGAGCCAGGCTTTCTACCTTGCAGAAATACCAACTGGGTATTTGAGTTGAGTTTGGGGTTTTCCTGAAGGACCATGCACGTCTAGCTCATGCTGACTTCTCATAATGGTTACAATCGACTGATAGAAACTGAGGAAGAGAAAAGCTTGAGTTCTAAACTGCTTTATCCTCACTCCCATAGATGCTCGTCGCCAACATTGACTTGGGGCCCACTATTTTGGATATCGCGGGCTATGATCTGAATAAGACGCAGATGGATGGAATGTCTTTCTTACCCATTTTGGTGAGTACACAATCCTCAACAAGTTTTGAGCCAAGATTCTGGAATAAACAAAGCCACTGAATGTTATGAAGGGAACAGACCTTTTCTCTGATCTGATGCTGGGAAGCAGCTTTCTAAGAGAAAGGACTGATGGGTCATGGACCATCCCCCTTCCTCCCATGCCCCATCCTAAACAAAGTTAAGTAACAACTTGGGGAAATATCTGTAGCATATGGGGTAATTAGTTCGAATATCCGAGTCTTTAGAAATGTACGATAAATGTCACAGGAGGAAAATGGGCACAAGTTCCCTGCTGCTGCTGAGAGGTGCGATTGAGTCCGGGTTGGCTCGTCGTGACCTTTCAAAGAACAAAACACTGCCCAGACTGGCCCCATCCTCACAGCCTTTGAGGGCCTCCCTCTCGTTCACTGATACCCAACTACATGTAAATGATGTGTGCACGGTGTCCTTCTCTAGGGACTGGGCCCTCCTGGTGATAGTAGATACTGGAGAGAAAGTGTCACCATCCCACCTTTCTTTTTACCCCCTAATTCTGTTTTTATTTCTATATATGGAAGCCCCTTTTGAATTATCACTACTGGTCTCCTTTCAGAATGCCATTCTTATTACAACTGTACAGTTAGGGTATCCACACAATACATAAATTCCAGGCTGGTAGTTTTAAAATATGTACATGGAAAAACAATACAGTATGTACAAACCAAATGCAAATAAAAATCCTTTTAAAATCGTAGAAATCCTTTTAGCGGGTTACATCGATCCTATTAAAAATAGTTCATCTGTCATTGTGTGACCACCTTCCACACATAAA